ACACATATAGGGTTTTTAGCATCGAGCATCAACTCATGTACAACCATCCTATGATATCTGATTACAATGTTCACAAGGCACACACACATATAGGGTTTTTAGCATCAAGCATCACCTCATGCACAACCATCCTATGATATCTGATTACAATGATCACAAGACATACACATATAGGGTTTTGAGCATCAAGCATCAATTTATGTACAATATCCTATGATATCTGATTACAATATTCAGAAGACACACACACATATAGGGTTTTTAAGCATCAAGCATCAACTCATGTACAACAATCCTATGATATTTGATTACAATGTGCACAAGGCACACACACATATACGGTTTTTAGGATCAAGCATCAACTCATGTACAATATCCTATGGTATCTGATTACAATGTGCACAAGACACACACACATATAGGGTTTTTAAGCATCAAGCATCAACTCATGTACACTATCCTATGATATCTGATTACAATGTTCACAAGACACACACATATAGGGTTTTTAACATCAAGCATCATCTCATGTACAATATCCTATGATATCTGATTACAATGTGCACAAGACACACACACATATAGGGTTTTTAGCATCAAGCATCAACTCATGTACACTATCCTATGATATCTGATTACAATGTGCACAAGACACACACATATAGGGTTGTTAGCATCAAGCATCAACTCATGTACAATATCCTATGATATCTGATTACAATGTGCACAAGACACACACATATAGGGTTTTTAGCATCGAGCATCAACTCATGTGAAACCATCCTATGATATCTGATTACAATGTTCACAAGACACACACATATAGGGTTGTTAGCATCAAGCATCAACTCATGTACAACCATCCTATGATATCTGATTACAATATGCTTAAGGCACACACACATATAGGGTTTTTAGCATCAAGCATCAACTCATGTACAATATCCTATGATATCTGATTACAATGTGCACAAGACACACACATATAGGGTTTTTAGCATTGAGCATCAACTCATGTACAACCATCCTATGATATCTGATTACAATGTTCACAAGGCACACACACACATATAGGGTTTTGAGCATCAAGCATCAACTCATGCACAACCATCCTATGATATCTGATTACAATGATCACAAGACATACATATGTAGGGTTTTGAGCATCAAGCATCAATTCATGTACAATATCCTATGGTATCTGATTACAATGTGCACAAGACACACACACATATAGGGTTTTTAAGCATCAAGCATCAACTCATGTACACTATCCTATGATATCTGATTACAATGTTCACAAGACACACACATATAGAGTTTTTAACATCAAGCATCATCTCATGTACAATATCCTATGATATCTGATTACAATGTGCACAAGACACACACACATATAGGGTTTTTAGCATCAAGCATCAACTCATGTACACTATCCTATGATATCTGATTACAATGTGCACAAGACACACACATATAGGGTTGTTAGCATCAAGCATCAACTCATGTACAATATCCTATGATATCTGATTACAATGTGCACAAGACACACACATATAGGGTTTTTAGCATCGAGCATCAACTCATGTGAAACCATCCTATGATATCTGATTACAATGTTCACAAGACACACACATATAGGGTTGTTAGCATCAAGCATCAACTCATGTACAACCATCCTATGATATCTGATTACAATATGCTTAAGGCACACACACATATAGGGTTTTTAGCATCAAGCATCAACTCATGTACAATATCCTATGATATCTGATTACAATGTGCACAAGACACACACATATAGGGTTTTTAGCATCGAGCATCAACTCATGTACAACCATCCTATGATATCTGATTACAATGTTCACAAGGCACACACACACATATAGGGTTTTGAGCATCAAGCATCAACTCATGCACAACCATCCTATGATATCTGATTACAATGATCACAAGACATACATATGTAGGGTTTTGAGCATCAAGCATCAATTCATGTACAATATCCTATGATATCTGATTACAATGTTCAGAAGACACACACACATATAGGGTTTTTAGCATCAAGCATCAACTCATGTACAAAAATCCTATGATATCTGATTACAATGTGCACAAGGCACACACACATATACGGTTTTTAGGATCAAGCATCAACTCATGTACAATATCCTATGATATCTGATTACAATGTGCACAAGACACACACATATAGGGTTTTTAGGAAAGAGCATCAACTCATGTACAACCATCCTATGATATCTGATTACAATGTTCACAAGGCACACACATATAGAGTTTTTAGCATCAAGCATCAACTCATGTGCAACCATCGTATGATATCTGATTACAATGTGCACAAGACACACACACATATAGGGTTTTTAAGCATCAAGCATCAACTCATGTACAATATCCTATGATATCTGATTACAATGTTCACAAGACACACACATATAGGGTTTTTAACATCAAGCATCATCTCATGTACAATATCCTATGATATCTGATTACAATGTGCAGAAGACACACACACATATAGAGTTTTTAGCATCAAGCATCAACTCATGTACACTATCCTATGATATCTGATTACAATGTGCACAAGACACACACATATAGGGTTGTTAGCATCAAGCATCAACTCATGTACAATATCCTATGATATCTGATTACAATGTTCACAAGACACACACACATAGGGTTTTTAGCATCAAGCATCAACTCATGTACAATATCCTATGATATCTGATTTCAATCTGCACAGAACACACATATAGGGTTGTTAGCATCAAGCATCAACTCATTTACAACAATCCTATGATATCTGATTACAATGTGCACAAGACACACACTCACATATAGGGTTTTTAGCATCAAGCATCAACTCATGTACAATATCCTATGATATCTGATTACAATATGCACAAGGCACACACATATAGGGTTTTTAGCATCAAGCATCAACTCATGTAAAACCATCCTATGATATCTGATTACAATGTGCACAAGACACAAACATATAGGGTTGTTAGCATCAAGCATCAACTCATGTACAATATCCTATGATATCTGATTACAATGTGCACAAGGCACACACATATAGGGTTTTTAGCATCAAGCATCAACTCATGTAAAACCATCCTATGATATCTGATTACAATGTGCACAAGACACAAACATATAGGGTTGTTAGCATCAAGCATCAACTCATGTACAACAATCCTATGATATCTGATTACAATGTGCACAAGACACACACATATAGGGTTTTTAGCATCAAGCATCAACTCATGTACAACCATCCTATGATATCTGATTACAATGTGCAAAGGACACACACATATAGGGTTGTTAGCATGAAGCATCAACTCATGTACAACCATCCTATGATATCTGATTACAATGTGAACAAGACACACACACATATAGGGTTTTTAGCATCAAGCATCATCTCATGTACAATATCCTATGATATCTGATTACAATGTGCACAAGACACACACACATGTAGGGTTTTTAGCATCAAGCATCAACTCATGTACAATATCCTATGATATCTGATTACAATGTGCACAAGACACACACACATATAGGGTTTTTAGCATCAAGCATCAACTCATGTACAACCATCCTATGATATCTGATTACAATGTGCACAAGACACACACATATAGTGTTTTTAGAATCAAGCATCAACTCATGTACAATACCCTATGCTATCTGATTACAATGTGCACAAGACACACACATATAGGGTTTTTAGCATCAAGAATCAACTCATGTACAACCATCCGATGATATCTGATTACAATGTTCACAAGACACAAACATATAGGGTTTTTAGCATCAAGCATCAACTTATGTACAACAATCCTATGATATCTGATTACAATGTGCACAAGACACACACATATAGGGTTGTTAACATCAAGCGTCAACTCATGTGGAACCATCCTATGATATCTGATTACAATGTTCACAAGACACACACATATAGGGTTTTTAGCATCAAGCATCAACTCATGTACAACCATCCTATGATATCTGATTACAATGTGCACAAGACACACACACATAGGGTTGTTAATATCAAGTATTGACTTATGTACAGTTATCCAATTATATCTGCTTATTATGTACATAAGACACATCCACAATGTACATTTATCCTTTGATATCTGATCATAATGTGCACAAGACTGGCCTTTTTTGCCGGTTGTATACTTTACACAGTTCTATAATCATTATGTGAACTAAGGAACATCTTCATATGGTTGTTAATAACGAGCATCGCTATTTTATTTTTATCCAATAATATCTACTTCTCGTTCAACATTAAGAAACACATGATGTTCAATTGTAGTATCAGATAATTATTAGAACAGCCGATATAGTTATTGATAATGCACTTCGTTATTCGTATATTTATCCCGTACTATATACTTCTATTCACATCAGCCTCAGGGTTGTTGACAAGTATTGCAATATGTATGATGATCCTTCAAATCCAATGATATTTTGCACTAAGAAACACATATAGGGTACGGCTGTTGGTGCGATAAGCCTACAGAGTTTATTTACCGAGAGTAAGTGAGTAAATGGTTTTGATTTTACACCGCTTATGGTAATATTCCAACAATATAACGTCGGGGATATGGGCTTCACATGTGGAGAATCGAAACGGTGCCTTCGGTATGACGAGCAAACGATTTCACAACAAGGCTGCCCCACCTCCTGATGGACACCAAGATAAACTAATGGTGTTGTTGATAACAAGCGTCGTTATTTTCTGATAATATCATGTTATTTACCAGCATGTAAAATGTACAAAGAGGCCTCTGGTTGCCCCTATATTATAATATTCACTCATTTAACACACCCAAAAATATTTAGAAGACTGGTGCTATTAATAGCATGTATCGTTATCTGCCCGAGTCCACTGTTGCTCTGTAAAGACGATGGGGTATTAGATGACACTTCAGAAGGAACAGCTCATCACTTACAATCGACATGCAGTTGCTAATCCGCACCCCTAGAGTCATCAGCCAAATATCACTCTGTGACCGCGGTGGGGCCAATCCGAGTAGAAGACCTGAACCACATCGATTCCTGGCGGGCTTATCTGGCTTTGGCCCAATAATTGACAACCGGCATCGACTGACAAATATACAGCATCTATAAGCCGCGGACGGAGCGTAGATGCCGGTGTGAAAGCAGTGCCCACAGGCTACACTGTCAGACCATGCTCTTTGTTGTCCTTTGTTACTTTGAAGGTCCAGAACCTCTGTTTGCTGTTAACTGTTTCATTGTTTAGCTTGCAATGGTAGATGCCAATAGGAAAAATAGTTAAAAGCAGAACCTGGACATCGATCGAGGACTATCTTGCTTCGAGAAGCCATAGAAGACCAGCCACCACCGACTGCAGACCGCGCTAGAAGTGTGTATGGAATTCCAGGACCAAGGGATTGTGTCCATCCTGACCAAAGTTTTAGTCCAGCCAATGGAGACCGAAACGTCCACCCCAACGGGTGCACCTCCAAGGGTTAAAACCAAGGCTAAACCAAGGTAAAATATATCTGAAAATATATGATTATTAATTACATGTAAATTATACATTTCTGTGACGTAGTTTTAAAAATAGCTCTGATGCATAATATGTATTTTATTTACCATACATATATCACCAGCAAAATATTTTCCACCTATAGAAAAGGATGGAGTGAAGCTTGTGTTGATGTAGCTGACAACATGTAAATTGTTAGATAAGCAGGAAACTAATTAACTCATCTTACATTTGTGCGCTTCAACGTTCTACATTGTATATTTATATTCTCATGTATAGCTTTGCTGTTTTCGTCAAATGTAGCTACTTGGCATATTTATAAAGACAGGCAAGTAACCTGTCTTTTGCAAACTGTGAATCGTCGGCAAGAACATAACTTATATTATGAAACTAGAAAATGGTGTATATTTATGAAAAAGTGTACACAGTGCTAACAAATGCGAGCGTCCGTTTAAAAACTCTTCTTGCTGGCTCTTAGAAGGATGACACGGTCATGTTGATTTTCGCTGTATGGTTTTGTATAATGCCCTCCATTTTATTCAGGATGATCTGAAGTGAAATTTTGGAATCACGGCCAATGGAATATTACGTCATTGTAAATAATAAGTAGGCTGTTGAATTACTGTACGAATACCAACGATTGCTGGAACAATACTACGGATTCTTAGTTAGTTCTGGTTTGTGAAGTATGACAGTATAGTAGTTGTTTTGATTATGTTTTCATAATGGTCTACGGTATATCAGGTTACATATGATATTGATATAAACCATTTCCATAATCATAGGAAATCTCTGTTTAAAACCGAGAACATTCTGCGATTCCCAATATATTATAAGCATATCACTTGCCATTTAGTGATGGTGCCAGGTGTTAGGGAAAAGATGAGCGTGTCCTGGCCCATCAGTCAAGTCAACTGTTACCTGAAAAACACGGGAACCTATGTTACATTTCAAAATAGGGAATGGCATCGAATAGCATAGTTTTGGTCATTGATATGTAATTATATTTCATTACAAACGATATATTGTGTCACCCAATTTGAATGTGGAACTAAAGGTTTGCGACATAAGCATATTACATATTCAACGAACCTTAACATGTACAATCTATGACCATAACTGATTGAGTGTTGAGGGAGCACGGGTGGCCCAGTCGTCTGAGGCGCCGCAATTAGCTATGCACAGTTGCGTCCCTTGTGCATGCCAGAAACCTGTGATCAAGAAACGGGTGATTTGGGCTTTCCTGACACATTAAGCTGACACGCAGTGGAATTCTGTTCAAAACGGCGTTAAACCCAACTAGCTCACTCACTGTTGGGTGTTAAAGGGTATTGAAGACTTTCGCGAGATTTTTGACCGAATCTATATTTCAGTAGAAAATAATCAAAAGAGTAAAACGCGAGATTCTTTCAGACACAAAGCACGGAAATAATCCATAGAACCAAAGCAAGAGAAAACATGTTTGATGACTCAACTCAAGTCAATTCAATATCTGATTATTCATTGACATTGTAATACAACCATAATACTGGAATATTATCTTGTGATTTTAGAAGTACAATGTAAATCGAACGGTGAGGAAATAATAACCACGCATGGTCCTCTTGTGTGCTGAAGATCGTTTATGATGTCATCGGTGGTCTTTACTTTCATTATCATCTAGGTTATCGATGATAAATCAGGATATTATTCAACCTATTAATGTCTTTTCTCATTCCTACTCTCTATGAATATGATAATTATTTTCTCACTTTTGTCCGCAAGGAATTCTTGGGCGGTCCCCAGCAAGTCCAAAGAATTAATTACTAAAAATACTAGTATAATTCGGATTGAGTTGGGTTTAAAGCCGCTTTGAACAGTGTTTCAGTTATATCATGGCGTGTCAGATGAATGTGTGAGGAGTAGGACGGGTATGGAGCTGACAAAGCTCAAAATATAATCAGGGCAAATCTTGGATTTAATAAATGTCAGTTATATCTAAAAACGTAAAAAAAAATCGCTTGGCCGACATGTAAATGGAAAATATCCAGATGTTTCCAGATATCTGAAGCAATGGGGTGCACCAATTTTGGCACGGTTGACAGTGCTTGTGTTCAATCAAACAAGTAATGATAACTGTCATGATCCCTTGAGCCTTATGATAATTATTATTGGCATTTACAAGAATAGGGATGACGCTGCACCGTGTGTTATTTGTGTTAATGTGTATGTGTTATTCGTATGCCAATTAACCGAACCATATTCACGTTGCTGCTTCTGTTTGATTAATTTTCTATCAACATTATACCATTAAGACAAGTTAATTCTTGTCATATGAGAAATAGACGAAAACCAAAGTTATTATAGCTTTATAATTATGACAAGGGTAATTGTACATTATGTCATGAAATGTCAACATGTGGACAAGGTCAACATTGAGTTTTGAGAAAAATATTCTCTTTTCACTCACTCCCTTTTCTATTGGTGTTGGTTTGTGTGCTATATTTGAAGGACAGAACAAAACACTCAAATGTTCGATTGCAATTCCCTGTACAGTCAACTCTCGTTAAGTGGCAATTCAAGGCCTTGAGCTTAAGTGCAAGCAGTATTTAACGAGACTGTTCATGGCAGTATGGTAGCCAAGCGGTTAAAGCGTTCGCGTCCACGCCGAAGGCCCGGATTCAATAGCCCACATTGGTACAATGTGTGAAGCATTTCTGATGTCCCCCGCCGTGATATTGTTGTGATATTGCTCAAAACGGCAAAAGTCCCAACTCACTCACTCGTGCAGCAACTGTACGGTCTAGTGCAATGACGCTGACTATGTAAATTCAGAGGACCCAGAGGACCATAGTGTCGAGCTATCCACACATTATCCAGTTCGAGTTATCAGTAGTAACTGATGGAGGAGAAGGATACTGCTGCATGAGACCCACCTGTTAAGTTGGTTTTCTAGTTAAGCGGAGTCTGGTTAGCAATAACAACAAGCGATTCTTTAATGTCCACATTGGTTTTAGATATATTGGAATACAGTCGCAAATAAAATGATTAAAACTTTTTTTTCTCGCGGCATTTGATGACCATTGCAACAGTTTGTAGATCAAGATGCAAATGATTGTGCAAGGGCGCCTTTCAGATGCAACACAGTCCCATGATCCTCAAATCCTCCAAATTAAGTGTTTCTCTTTGTGAAGGAGCTAACAGTATTGATTGTCTCAAGATAGTAGCGCATTTTATCAGCTGTCCAACAGAATCCAAATGGCGCTCTTTATTGATGTTCAGGATCGCATTTCATAGAGACAGGATCCGTTAACAACTGCACTTTTTGTACTTTCGTTTCTTTGACAAAAACACCCCATCAATATCAAAGCTGGAAAGTCATAAATAGAAATGGCTAGCAAAACTGTTTTCTGCATGAGTGGATGATTGGCGTGCACATGTTAAAATGATGACACATAACTGTGTTATTGCTACAACGGCTATTCAGGGAAGTATTACATCTGAGCAGATACCGTAGCTGTTAAAGGGTCACTGATAAAAGTGCTGAGGATGCATTTTATGTCTATGTTACATGAGAACAGGTACACTTATGACACATATATGCCTTTTGCTCAATATTAATTCCATAGAAGGTTATTAGTATTTCATAAGATTAGCTAAGGCATCACGTTTTTAAATATATTTAATGTCGAAACTGCTTTACTATTCCGTCAAAGCTTACTTCAGTTTTGACGATGGTATCATTATCTAGTTTCCATGACATTCGTACATACCGGAAATACGGGTTGTCGGTTGTGAAAACCACAAATACTTTAACGTCAGTTCCTACCATTGCATTGATGCCGGTAAATTGGACTTTAACACATAAGGGACACGGTAACAATCGTTAAGGTTGGACGGTCCTCCCACCAAAGGTAACCTGCCAGAAGCACAAACTACTTGCGTATAGACTTTGTGTTTATTCATTTAATTGTTTGTTTTGCGATATACGTTTAATCAAGATGATGTACTGTTGCGTATGTAGGTTGGGAAATCAATTGTGGCGTATGTAGATCACGTGTCATTTAGCCTTTCAGTATGACTCAATGACTATATTTAAGGGGAGTAGGGTCTAAAGTCTAAAGCCCATTTCAGTTGAGGTCAATATATACTATCCCTTGACCGGTTTTAAATTATGACAATGTTTCTATGTTACCTAGATAATAAAACATGAGGGTAGAAAGTTGTTTTGAATTACATGATTCCAGCTTGCAAGGACTGCCTATTTACCCGAGCTTAGTCCCCCTTTAAAGATTGAATTACATGCTGTCCACAGTGTGTTGATGTAATCCATGTGTGATGTTGATGGTCTTCATTTGTATATTTCTTTATGCTTGGGGCACGGGTGGTCATCTAAGGCACCGCAATTCGCTGTAGTTCAAATCCCGCTTCTCCCTATTATGTTTCTACGTTTGTCAATACCATACCTCTGCTCGTGGGTTTCACCAAAGTGGTAAACGTCTGCATCCCTTTACGATTTTCGTTGTGCTGACACGTCGTGATATAACTGGAATACTGTTCACTCACTCCTTTATGCTGAATTTTGTCACATGTAAATAAAAAAGAACAAAATCCTCTCCTTAGTCATAAGAAATTTCTGCTGAAACAAGAGCTCATAGTTCCAGGGAAGGCGTCATTATTTGATCATAAGTTCATAGTAAGGTAAAACAGTTTACCTTGGTACATGTACATGTCCTTATCGATCGGCAATAGTGCCCATTAACATGTTACTACACTTTGTGAGATATCCGGGACAAAAACTCAAGGTTGCAGATTCAAGATCACCTGTCACCTGAACAAACACGGGAACATAACCCATGCTACAAAAAAACAATAGGAAAGTGCATTGGGCATCCTTTTGGTCACTTATGCGTCAAATTTGGTGGAAATGGCCTTCACATATCTACCATAAAACGTGTTGAAATTTTTACCAAGACATTGAATTCTGTAACCCTGATCAAACGTTTTTAGCAAGAGTCGTATG